TGTGTGTGTGTGTTTTTGTAGATGAGTGAGAGTGCCAAATGTTGTGAGTTGTGACAACCCACTCTCACTGTAAGAGAAAGAACCACCACAAACTGACCAATCTCCATCCCCATTTTTATTTTATGTTATTTTAGTTTGCAACAAGATCATTTTTATTTTTATTTTTATTTTTTTGTTGTTTTTCTGTATATATAAAACAAGATTTTATGATTCAGCCTTTTGAGCTCTCACATTCACATCTGCTGCTTGCTCAGCTTCGTCTTCACCAAATAATTGGAGGCTTGTGTTTGTCTCTCTGTGTGTGTGTCTGTGTTTTTTTTTTCTTTTTTTTTTTTTGTTTTTTTTTAATTAATTAAAAACTAAGTGAAGAAGATGTCAAATTTTGGGCTAATTGTTATACTAGGGTTGTATTGGAGGTTTGTTGTATATATATCTTTGGGTCTCTCTATATATTGAAAGAATTTCTTTCGTACTGCAAGGACTATGGCCTAAAATTGGAACGAAATATCCAACTTTTGATTTTTTTTGATATATATATATATATATATATATATATATATATATATATTCGATTCGATTAAAGTTCCGAAAATTCCAATTATTTTTCCGAATATATAACACTTAATATACCAATATTATTATGTATTTTATATTTTAGGTGATCAAAATCTAGAAATTTTCGAATTCCATCGATTTCAATCTGAAATTTTCTGATTTTGGAATAAGTCTTTTCGTTCCAATTTTCGAAATTCCAAACTAGTTTTTCACTTCTAAATTTTTTTTTTTTCCCGAAAGGACTAATTCCGATCTGATCCGTTCAATTTACATCCCAGCAAAAACATTGTCCGAACGTATCAGGGTGGGGAATCTAGTGTTAAGTAACGAGTTCTATTCTTGTCACTCGTTGGGTTCGGTTGTAGGTCATTTTTTTCTTTCAATCTTTTATTTTAAATTATTTTTTTCGATAGAATGAATACTACTTGCATATTGATAATCAATATTATATATAAATGATTCTATATTGTTTGTGTTTTCACTAAGAAACACAAATAAAGATTACATTTTTCAAATTATTATTATATATAAATCATTCTATATTAATTGTTGTAAGTTAAAAAACAAACCAACATTACTTTATTTTTCAAATTCTTCTTCTAAAATATATTTTTTCAACACTTTTAAAAATGATTTGGCTGCTACAATGCATTTTGTTTCATCTCAGATTATAAACAAACACTCAGATTATAAACAAACATTGCTTTCATTCTCAAATTATTAACTCAAAACATATTTCCCCAAAATAAAATGAAAATAACTCGCAAAACGATTCCAAACATTGCCTTTGCCTTTGATTTAATTTGCCAATCAAATGATGATTTTGCTAATA